ATTTGATCAAGTCCGATTTACTTTTCAAACGCTGCATACCCCAGTGGGGGTCGCGCCCCCAGTGACGTGGCGCGCCCCCATTGGTTTCAAGTGTTATATATATTTTTGTTATTTAATTATGTGAATCCGTGGTCCTAAACCGATCCAATCCGTATTTAAATGGATTGGTTCGGATTGGTTCCATGATTTAAACGGATTGGATTGGTTCTAATTTTTCAAGAACCGTAAATAACGAATTGGTCCTGGTTTTACACCAATCCGGTCCAATCCGGACCATGCTCACCCCTATAAGTAACTCATGTATTCTTTTACTCAGCACACTTCACATAAAGTCCAACTTGTGTAAACAATTAGCTTAATTGTTTGGTGGGCCCGTTGCTTGACTTCTTGCTCATGATCATGCCTTATAAAAATTGGTTTGTAATCTGATAATGGACTTCAGATAGCATACTGGACGTCTTAGGTTGAAGCCTAACGGACGCTTGGTAGGCCCCGCCCAAGCTTTCTCTTGCACATAAACACCTAATAATTCCTCCAGCCTTGGTCGTACATGTGGCAAGCCATCCATACAGCTCTTTATTGTTATTACTTGCAAACAAAGAGTGGATCTGGTCAACTGTTATTGCTGCTCCGTCTTTTCTGTTCGGTCATATGTCTGCCTTGTCGGTTTGCCTGCAGCTTCTTTTTTTTTTTTTTTTTTTAAATTTGAGCATCACCTTTAGGTACTGCTCGGTCAGGCCTATTCTGACGTCTGATGGACTGAGCAATCATTTAATTTATGCACGACCACTGCCCAGCTGTTTATTTGTTTCAGTCTTCAAGATTTTGTTCTGCGTTGTTTGGTTGGTTTGCACGTCGGTTAAACGAGCAGGACAATGGAGGCCGAACAATTCGACATTATTTAGGGTTGGTTTGGGTGTCCTAAAAAAGTGTACTTTTTGTCTTTTTGGACTAAAAAAGATTAAAAAATATATATATAGAGGTTTGGGTTAACTTTTTGACTTTTTATGGAAAAATGTGTATTAAAAAATTGTATAAAAAAAGTGTGTAAGAGATGATAAGAGAGGAGTGGGCCCCAGCCGTACAACCGGCTGTGTAATTTGAGTTGGAAATTATTGGCTAATTTTTGTACAAAGCATTGGACCGTTTTGTTTGACCCGTGGGGGTCATCACGGGTCTCATTTTAATAATTTGAACCGTTCAATGTGTGTAACTTGTCGAACACTATCTACCTATAAAAAATCACGTTAATCGGATATCGATAGCTATCTGATCAGATTTATTTATTTTTCAATCATTAATTATAACACTATCCATTTGTTGTACATAACTGATTTGATCATATAGTTATCGATATCCGATCAATATGATTTTTTTTTAGACATATAGTACTCGATGATTTCTACACATTGAACGGTTCAGATTATCAAAACGGGACCCGTGATGGCCCCCATGGGACAAACAATGGTGTGTGTAAAAATCACACCCAATTATTTCTTTTTTCTCACTTACGCACACAGTAGCCGCTCTTTATTGAATTCGGTGTGTACTTTTTGGAAACAAATTTGATTTTTTTTTTTTTTTTTTTTTTTTTTTTTTTTTTTTAGAATAGTGATATCTTTTTGGATTTTGGAGTAACTTTTTGACTTTTTGGCTTATATAGGATAAGCCAAACCAGCCCTTAATAAGCTTATTCTGTCCTTACTTGAGAAACATTAGCTCAGTTTGTTCGGTCCCACTGCCTCTATGCTTGGTCATCCAGACTTTATTCCTTTGCTTTGCTCGGCCATGATTAACACTGCCTTTTTTTTCTTCTGCATCCGAGAGCCAGCATTTTGCATTGGTCTAGAGATAAAAGTATTATTACCAGAGGTTCCTCCTTCATCTATACAGGCTTTGCAGGCTGTTCGAAGAGAACTATAGGACCTTCCACTTGGCGAAGTGTATCGCAATTCCCGATTCCGTCCCCTCACATAGTACCAGAATGACCACCCACCAGCGGAAAGATGCTTTTTTGCTTTAAATTGTAGACCCACATATTTGTGGTCCTTAACCTTGTAACACTTCCATTTATCACTATTTTCCACTGATCCAAGAGAATAGTAATCAAGTACAGCTCCGGGGCAATGTTCGGATTCAACAACTCTGTCGGAATGAGGCATCACAGACAGCTCCATGGATGTGTGTGGTGGTTCAGCGAGAGGAGAAGGGAATGGACTATCTGACACAGCAACTGACAGTCTTTCATCATCTTGGGAATGAAGGGAAAGAATTTCTGATCCAGGTTCCTTCAAATCCCTACAGACCATAACAAATGAATAATATGATTTCCCATTAGGTGAGATGTATCACATCTTATTAATACCTCCATCTCTCATGAACTCGATCTTCCAGCCCAAATATGCAAGATGCTCTCTGACATTTAAAGTACGGGAAGACCTATGTCCGGGCTTTAGGTATTCATTAATTGCATCGGGGCAAAATTCAGCTCTAGGAACAATTTCATCACCAGCAGGTTGCCACCTATGACTTGTACTCAACCTTTCCGATGGAGCTTTCCCCAAAGCCTTGCAGATGGTAACAAGTGACAAATATGATTTCCCATCGGGTGAGGTGTAGCGCAGCCTAAGAACATTTTCATCTCTCATGAACTCAATCTTCCTTGCACGGCTCACCTGGAAAGTTCGAAGCTGGGCTAACTTCACACTCGTCGTTGTTTCAAGTGCCCTTTAGCTCGGCCTAAAACGCTTCGGCCGACTCGTCCGTGAGCATCGCAGCTCGGTCGTCCATGATCTTGGCCTTGCCACCAGACCTTAAGCTCGGCCCTGACTAATGTCCTTACTCCGACTGTCGAGCCATCACGTGTCCACATTTGACTAGTTTGGGGCTGTCAACATGACATAAAGGCAAGCCCATTTCAGAATTTGTTAATGAAAACAAGTAAACCCACTTTGTTTAATACTTTCTCCCTCTAGAAATTTGGATTTCCAGACCCATTTTTCCCGTTCCCTTCCTATCTCACTTTTTGACTCCAGGAATAACAGAACCTATTTTCGGAAAAAAGAGTCTGACTTTGGTTTTGCTCTTACATTTTTCTTTTTCTTGGAACTGTAAGCAATTTTGAAATTTAATAATCTGATAACTTGACCTCTAACTCTTTTTCTATAAATTCCAAACTCCTCTTCAGAAAATTGAGGGCTTGTATCAATGGCGTGGTCTCCTCACTCTCTCACTCTGGAGAATTAGATTTTCAGAGTCTGGGGACAAACCGAGTGTTCTCTTCTTCGATCTTCATCTTCCGGCAACCCGTCGGCGTTCGTTGTTTGCAGTAAAGAATTATCCTCGCCGTTCTGTTACCTTGCAACCTGTTCATCTTGCCTCTTGGTCACTGGGTTCTGATTTTGTAAGTTTTTGAACTCTCTCATTTTAATGAGCTTTTCTTACTGATTTTTGGTGGGCACTGTTTTGTAAGTCCTCTACTGTGATTTATTTATCTATTTATTTATTCCCCTCCCCCTTCTTTTTTTTTCTCTTTTTTTTTATTACAATTATATATATATATATATATATATATATTTTTTCTCTCTCTCTCTTTTTTTCTTTTTTTTTCTTTTTTTTTGCAACTCATAATTTTTCTCTTGGTTGCCACAGTGGGACTGCGTCATCGGAGAGGCTCGCCATCAAGTTCCCCTTGATTTTGGCACTGTAAGTCATAGAACCCATGTATTTCCTTTCCACCTTCACCATTACTTTTTTGGTTAAGTGTAACGTTGAGAGTCGTTTAGCACACGGTTGCTCGGTCGGCCATTGTACCTCCAACCTTGCAAGTCATCCTTAGTGTAGTTGTTTGGTGGAACGTCGCACCTCCAATGGGTAAGTTTCGGAACCTAGTGGACACTCCGGCAGGAATGGATGAGTTCCGCCGAAGATATAACATTCCCAACGATGTCATGTTGACATTGGCGGCGGTAGACGTAGATCGGTCGTGTACGAGCACCACAATGCCCTTCTCAATTGCCTCCATCGTAGAGAGGGGTGTTAGGTTTCCGTTGAACCCTTTGTTGCATCGATTCTTTTCTTATTTTGAACTTACACCAATGCAAATATCAATGAACACATTTAGAGTGGTAAACGGTGTCTCAGTCTTGAATGACCTCTTAGACTTGGACTTAAGTATTTGGGATATCCTTCATTGCGACTCCTTGTGTCATAATAAAGGCAGTGAAACCTATTATGTCAAAGTTCGGTCGTTGGACCTCCAACTCATTACTGAACTTCCTGATAACGACAAGCATTGCTCTGATTTCCTTTAAGTCGGAGGTAATTGGGAGTTTGCGGCCGAGGAGGTGGGCCGATCGAAGCGGGTTCCACGAGAGAACGGCCACCCAGGTCATTCTTTATTGTAGCTTCCTTTTATCCATTCGCTTATCGCCTGTGACTTTTTTCTTCGTTAAAGTGTTATTGTTCGTACTTGCAAGTTCAAAGAAGCTAAAAAGGAGGCCAGAGAAAGAGCATCCGAGGGATATCAAAGTTGCACTAAGGTACGAAGATCGGTCGGCCCCGCATTTGCTTAACTATGTGCAAACTTACAGACATGCCATCCAACGGAAACCCAAAGTAAATGAATTCTCGAGGGACTCACTTGAGATTGAAACCGAAGAACAAGTTGGCCAATACCATTAGAGCTTGTTCTTGAAGCTTTTGTTAAATTTTCAAACCATATTTCATAAAACTTGAGGGTGCCATGGTCTGGGGATTGCCTTCCCTGATAAGTCAGCCAGATAGTATGCGCCATTGCCAAGTGCTGAGGTAACCTTGTAGGGCCCCTCCCAGTTTGCACCGAGTTTCCCTTCCCCAGGAACTTTCTTGTGATCCATTACCTTCCTGAGTACCAAGTCACCTGGTAGGAATTGCCTTGGACGCACATTCTTGTTGAAGCTCTTAGTGAGTTGCTGCTGGTAGGCTGCCAACCGAATAAGGGCAGCTTCCCTACAGGCTCAGTTGAAGAATGGGTGCCTCCCTTGGAGCATAACGGCCGAGCAATCACTACATCGGACAGCACAATCTACTCAAGCGACTTGGCCTTTGACTTATCAAAGACATTGCTGCTACCTTTGGATATGGCGGAGCAAAACATTTCAAGCGACGTGTTGATCAAGGGTTCGGTGCAGATGCTAACCGCAGTAAGTCTTCTTTTATGTCCTTGTCATTTCCTTAAGTTTGGTTGTTGAGAATATGACATTTTGGTTGATGTAGTGCATTCAGAGGATGCACATCATGGACGAAAGGCGACATCGTGATGAGCAAGAGAGGGTCAAGACGATCAACATGTTGGCTGATGCTGATATGTCCTTGAAGGCGACCGGAGAGGATATAAAGGAGATGAAAGATGCAAAGAAGAAAGCTGAAGCACTGATGTTCATGGCCGAGCGGAGGGCTGCAGATGCCAATGCTGCTTTGAAGTCTTTAAAGTCTAATTATCAAGGGATGGTGGATGAGGCTGAACAGAGGGGCTATGACGAGGCCGAAAAGACCTATTCCGAGGAGATTTTGAAGCTGAGGGACAAGATCTTTACTAAGGGTTGGACTGGGGCTCTGCGCGCTGCTAAGGTGGAAGAGGCTTCTCCTCTTTATAATATTGACGATATCCCAGTCCCTTCGAAGACCGCCGCGAGGGTTAGGATGAGAAGGCCTCGTCAAGGTGGAGCTACGGATGTTGATCCTTCTGGCCTTTCTCCTTTCCTGCCAAGCTCTTCCTTGGTTAGACAGATTGTCATTCCTACAGAAGAGGAGCACCGCAAGGATGGACACTACGAGGAGGAGCAACGCGAGGAGTAAGTTGTTAGGTTGCCTCGAGTTTTGCTTTTACTTCTACTTTAGTAGTTCTTTTGTAATGAAACTTGGAAGTTAATGAAGTATCTTCAAGTTTTGTTTTAGCGTTCGGTTGGATAAGCTATGGTACAAACCGAGCTCCCTTTTGTAATGAAGTACCTTCTAAATTTGCCAAGTGTTGAATTTACAACTTGTACTTTTTTATTTATCTTGGAGTTCGGTCGGGTGGACCTCTTCTTTTGTAAGGCCAAACTCTTTTTTGTAATTGAAGTTTCGCTTCAATGCACTCGTTCTTTTATTTTCGCAAGTGTTGAACTGTTTATCTTCAATTTTTGCTTATGTGTCATGTTTGTCCCCGGCCGAGCAGAGGCTCTGTGGCCTAGCAGGCTGTCTGTTCGGTCTGATCAGGCTTCGTGCCTTAGAAAAAATTGAGTGAGTTTGTTGATGCCCCCAGCCGAGCATGAGCTCTGTGGCTCGGAAGGTTGTCTGTTCGGTCAGACCATGCTTTATGCCTTCGTAGAGAAGAAATTGTGAAAGTTTTTTATCATGTTGGTCGGCCGCCACCTGACTTGGTCAAGTTTTGGCGTGATTTAACCCTTCGTAGAGTGTAATTCTGCCCGTCTTCGAGCGCGAATTGTGAATTTGGACCGTGCTTTAAGTAACGATACTTGGCACAAATTCCACCAAGTTGTACCACTTGGCACCCCGCTCCAACCAAAGGGTTGAGCATCCGGGATTGGCTTGAGTTAAGACCCGTGGCCAATTTGCTCCACCGAGCATAAATGTACAACACAAGTAAATAAGGACAAACTATAAAACAAATTTTCATTCATTGATACTTGTAACTTTTGATTACATCAAGGCATGTTCTGAAAAATACATTACTGTAAGTACTCCATCCTAAGAATCATATCATTGGAAGTACTTCTTTAGGTTGGCGACGTTCCATGGTCTAGGGATTGCCTTCCCTGATAAGTCAGCCAGATAGTATACGCCATTGCCAAGTGCTGAAGTAACCTTGTAGGGCCCCTCCCAGTTAGCACCGAGTTTCCCTTCCCCAGGAACTTTCTTGTGATCCATTACCTTCCTGAGTACCAAGTCACCTGGTAGGAATTGTCTTGGACGCATATTCTTGTTGAAGCTCTTAGTAAGTTGTTGCTGGTAGGCCGCCAACCGAATAAGGGCAGCTTCCCTACGTTCTTCGGCCAAGTCCAGAGCTTGGGCGATGGCTTCATCATTGTCTGCTGGCTCAAAGATCTCAGAACGGATGGTAGGAAGGCCAACCTCTAAAGGGATGACTGCTTCTATCCCATAGGTAAGAGAGTAAGGTGTCTCACCGATTGACCGACGAGGAGTAGTTCGGTAAGCCTAGAGGACATTCGGTATCTCCTCCACCCATTTACCCTTGGCTTTTTCAAGACGCTTTTTTATCCCATCAATGATCGTCATATTGGACGCTTCAGCTTGGCCATTGCCCTGTGGGTAAGCCGGAGTGGAGTTTCGGAACTCTATCCTCAGGTCAGCGCAAAACCTTCTGAAGATCTTGCCATCAAATTGTGTACCATTGTCAGAGAGAAGGACTCTGGGAATGCCAAATCGAGTCACAACATTGTGCCAAACAAACCTCTTAGTGTCTGCTTCTTTGATCTTGCATAAGGCCTCCACCTCCACCCACTTGGTGAAGTAGTCAGTTGCAGCAATGAAGAACCTTTTATTCCCAGTTCCCCTAGCTAATGGTCCAACAATGTCTAAGCCCCACTGAGCGAATGGCCAAGGACTGGTGAGGGGGGTTAGAGCTTTGGCTGGCTGGTGAATGAGAGGAGCAAACTTTTGGCACTTGTCGCACTTGCGGACATACTGTTGGGCCTCCTTTTGCATGCGTGGCCACCAATACCCGTGTGTTAGGGCTCGGTGTGCCAAGGACCGACCACCAGCGTGGCTCCCACAGATTCCATCATGGATCTCATAGAGCACATCTTCCACCAGGCTTGGATGAACACAGAGTAGATAAGGGCCCATGTAGGACTTCTTGTAAAGCTTACCAGATGGGGAGACCCAAAATCGAGCAGCTCTATGCCTTGTCTTGTGCGCTTCTTTTTTATCCTCAAGAAGGGTGCCATTCTTCAAGTAGGCTAGGAGTGGGTCCATCCAACTTGGGCCCAAATCTGTGCAGAGGACCATTTCGACTAGTTGAATACTTGGTTGGGGTACATATTCCACCCATATTTTGCGGGCGTCTCTGGAGTCGACCGAGGAACCTAGGCAAGCTAAAGCATCAGCATGACCATTTCCCTCTCGGCCGATCTTCTCGACTCTGATGGCTTGGAACTTTCTGATCAAATTTTTGGCCTGTTCTGCATAAGTGGCCATCCGTTCATCGCGAGCCTCGTAAACTCCGGAGAGTTGGTTGACCACTAATTGGGAGTCACTAAAGACGAGTAGCTCCTCCGCGTTGAAGTGTCCGGCACTTCGCAAGCCGGCTAGTAGAGCTTCATACTCTGCTTCATTATTAGAAGCTTTCCAGCCCAACCGAATGGCTTGCTCCCACGTGAATCCTTCAGCAGAAATAAGGACAACTCCTGCTCCAGAGCCTTTTTGGTTAGAAGAACCGTCTACAAACAGCTTCCATACGTCTCCAACAAAAAGCTTCCATGCTTCGGCTGGGGATTGCCCTTTATGCTGGGCAGTCATAATAACCAAAGCAGAGCTCCCTTCGGAGGGGACAGCCGGTCCCGGGGTGAATTCTGCAACAAAGTCTGCCAGGACTTGAGCTTTGATTGTTGTTCGAGGTTGGAACTTGATATCAAACTCTCCAAGCTCCGCCGCCCACTTTGCTGTTCAGCCTGAGAAATCTGCTCGACTGAACACCGACTTGAGAGGGAATTCAGTGAGGACGTTGATGGTATGCCTTGAAAATAGTGACAAGCTTTCTAGAGGCAATTAATAGTGCATATGCCAATTTCTCCAATGGCAAGTATCTAGTTTCGGCATCAAGGAGTGTCTTGCTAACATAATACACTGGTTTTTGCTCCTTCCCATCCTCTCTGGCTAGCACTGCACTGACAGCATGATCAGAGACAGCCAAGTAAAGGAAAAGCTCTTCGTTGGCGACAAGTGTTGATAGAAGGGGAGGAGAGAACAAATACTTCTTCAAATCTTCTAGCGCTTCGGAGCACTGACTTCCCCACTCAAAACTAGTTTTCTTCTTTAGAAGTTGGAAGAAGGGCTTCATCCGATCAGAGGACTGACTGATGAAACGGTTAAGTGTTGTAGCCATACCAGCGAATTTCTGGAGTTCTTTAGCCTTTGTAGGTGCTTCAAGGTCTTGGAGGGCTTTGATTTGGGCGGGGTTGGCTTCAATGCCCCGCCTAGTCACCATATACCCCAAGAACTTCCCTGATCCTACTCCAAAGGCACATTTTGAGGCGTTCAATTGAAGCTTGTGAGTCTTTAGAATTCCAAACACTTGCTCAAGGTCCCTTAGATGGTGCGCGACCAACTTTCTTTTGACGACCATGTCATCAATGTATGCTTCCATGGTTTTACCAAGCTGGTCCTTGAACATTTTGGTGACCATTCGTTGGTAGGTCGCACCAGCGTTTTTCAAGCCGAAGGGCATCACTTTGTAGCAGTAAATGCCTCTAAGGCTGATGAAAGCCGTTTTCTCCTGGTCAGGACTGAACATAGGGATCTGGTGGTAGCCACTATAGGCGTCTAGAAAGCTCATGCGCTCATGTCCAGCCGTTGCGTCAACAAGTTGATCTATTCGTGGAAGGGGGAAGCTATCCTTGGGGCAAGCTTTGTTAAGGCTAGTGAAATCAACGCAGACTCTCCATTTGCCATTCTTCTTTTTCACCACAACGGTGTTGGACAGCCATTTTGGGTACTGCACTTCTCGAATGACTCCAGCAGCCAAAAGTTTGTCCACATCTTCGATCACTGCATCGGTGTGTTGCGCGGATGATCGTCTACTCTTCTGAATAACTGGCTGCGCTCCTAATTGGACGTTGAGTCGATGACAGGCATAGTTGGGGTCCAACCCAGGAGTGTCATAGGCCGACCAGGCGAACACTTCGATGTGTTTACGGAGTAGAGCCAGTAATTGCTCTTTCTCTCCAACTGTGAGGGAAGTGCCGAGCAGGAAGAACTTATCTGGGTTTCCTTCTTCTACCAAGACCGTCTCTAGGTCCTCCACCATCTTCTCAGTCGGCACTCCGCCGACGTCTTCCAAAACCGGCTGGTCAGGTACTTCTACCATCTGTACTTGGTCGCAGACTTGTTTGGTTTTCATGGCGGCAATGAAGCAGTGTTTGGCTGCCACTTGGTCTCCACGAATCTCCTCTACTCCATACTTGGTTGGAAAGCGAACGAGTTGGTGATAGGTGGAAGGGACTGCCTCCATCTGGTGAATCCAAGGTCGGCCGAGGATGGCATTGTAGGGAGATGGGGTGTTTACCACCAAGAAGTCAACAGAGACCACCTTGGACTTAGCTATGATAGGCAGAGTTATTCGGCCGAGCGGCCATTCTGTTTGCGAGTTAAAGCCAACTAAAGGGGAGGTGGCAGGTGTCAGGTGTTGCTCACTGAGGCCGAGCTTCTTGAAAAGCTCATAATACATGATGTCTGCGGCACTTCCTTGGTCAATCAAGACTCGCTTCACATCGAACTTGTTGGCCACACCAACTGTAACGATGAGGGCATCTGTGTGGGGGTGCTGGATTCCCTCTAGGTCCCTTTCGGTGAACACGACGTTAAACCGAGAAGGTCTGGCTTCTGTCTTGGACTTTTTGGGAGGAGGTCCTACCGACATTACCTGCTGAATGTGGGTGGCTCGTTGGATTTCCCCTCGAATGGTGTTTTCTCTTTCGGGGTCAGTCATTCCATGGATAACATTGATGACCAACCTCGGGGCATGGTTCTCTTCAAGGGGGGCTTGGTCTAGTCCTTTCTTTTCCCTCGTCTTATCAACGTCTATCCATTGTTGGAGGTGTCCCGCCGTAACTAAGTCCTCCAAGTGTTGTTTGAGAGCTCTGCAATTTTGCGTCTTGTGTCCCTTCTCTCGATGATAGGTGCAACGCAGTGTCTGATTGCGCCGAGCAGGGTCTCCAGGCATCTTAGCTGGCCAGACAAAGAAGGCTTCCCCTTTAAGTTTCTCGACGAGCCTGTATATTGGCTCTTTGAAGACGGTGGTGATGCCTTCATAAGACTTGGCCCTTTCCTCCTCGTTTTCTACTGTGGAGCGGTTCCTTTGGCCATAGTTCTTGCGCTGCTCATCCCTCCTTGGCTGCTCAGTCTTAGGCGGTCGAGGCGGTCTGACTTCTTCTTCAGCAACAGCAACATGTACTGAAGCAGCGTCATCTTCCACGCGAGCTTGTTGCTCTATTTGAGCCCTCAAATCCTTCATGGTGGAGGCATGTCGTTTCGTCAACGACTGTCTTAGCTTGTGCGAAGGAGGTAGGCCTTGCTTGAAGTATAGCACGGCCAATTGTTCACTGCAAACATTTTCCTCCAGGTCACCATACTCCTCCCAATACCGTCGCGCGTACTGGCGTAGGGTTTCTTTCCTGTCCTTTCGGATATTGAACAAGGTATCTAACTGCTTTGGGACCCTGCTGTTGGAGACGAATCGGGCTAAGAACGTCTCCGAGAGCTGCGTCCAGTCATAAATTGAGCCATTGGGGAGTTTGTCAAACCATCGGAGGCCAAGTTCTCCAAGGCTAGAGGGGAAGACTTTGCATATGAGTGCGTCGTTACGGTTCCAGAGGGACATCATCTGGCGGTAATGGCTGATGTGGGTCAGAGGGTTCGTCTTTCCATCATAGAGAATGAATTTCGGCGGGCTATACTTCCGTGGAGGTTCTACAGCTTCTACCTCTGGGGAGAAGGGGGTGGACACCAACCGGTCTAGAGCACGATGCTCTTGTTGGTGTATGGACCGGTCTAACTGGTCCCTTTCCCTGCTGAGCCGGCGGTCCTCCTCCCTATCTCCTCGACGTTCTCCTTCCCTGCATAGCCGTCGTACCTCTCCTCTGTTATCGTTCAGCCAACTTCTCAAATCTTGCGGCCGCTCGTCATGGCGATAATGAAAGGTTCCAGATAGGCGGCTGACAGTCCTTTGCCTTTTATGAGAATTCCCTCGTTGGTTATTTTTAAGGTTATTCGTCCTACTGCTGGCCCCTTCACTATGCACCGAAATCGGCCGGCTACGCCCTCTATGAGCAGGGCCACGGCTGGAGTGCTCCTTGTGAAGCGGCGGAGGAGTATGTCTCCTTTGCGATGGTCCACCAACGGATTTTCTTGGCTCCGCTGGGGTCGCCATGAACTTCAACAATTGGGTACGAAGCTCAGTGATCTCCAAACCCATTGAGTCAATGATGCGGTCACGGTGGTCTTTCTCAACAAAAAGACGTTGAGACGACTCAACGGCAATGACACGGCGTCGCTCCGCCGCGTTGGGTGTCTGATTGTCGTGGTCCATAGGGTCATCGTGTGCTGAAGGGAATGCCAGACCTTTATCTTTGGTTCTCTCCGTCATTGGAGTCCTCTCTGCTAGCCCAGAGTGGGGTGTGTCTTCGATTCCCATCGTCGGAGTTCGTCACGATGCAAACAGTGGTATTCCCACAGACGGCGCCAATTGTGCGGGGGTGATTTCTGCACTATGAAGAAGGGTTGAACTTCGTGGATGAATAGCAGGCTTTGGGAATTGAAGATCTGCACAGAATAACAAATGGTGAGACTGCCCGACCGGGGTTTGGTCGGAAACCCCTCCGATGGTAAAGTCAGGAACTCAGGGAGAGGAAAAAGAGAGGAGAGAAAACAAAGTGTATATGTGTTAAGTGTGTCGATTTCGGATCCCTTGAGAGTGAATAGTGTTCACCTTTTATAGGAGAAGGTTGTTTGTCGTTCAAGTCCTTCTCTCTCCGCCATCTGTCCAATGTGTCTTATTTGTGGTCGTCTCCTATTGGAGGAGGACGACCACTCCGCCTGACACTCGGGTGCAGGTCTATTTTGTTTGTCTCATTAGCGGACATCTCTCATTGGAGGAGGACGACCACTCCGCCTGCCATTTAGATGCGGGTCTGTCATATATGCACCTTGTCCCTCTGCACCTCCATGTCTCCACGTTCTGTTCATACAGAGGGAGAGGAGCATAGTTGTTTGTCTCTAGTGGACCCAAGAAAGATCTTCAGTGAATTGGCCTTCTCTAAGTTGGTCTGCTCTAGAACGGTTGTCCAACCAGGAGGTCCAACATGTTGCTCAACCCACTTCGGAGTGGTTCTGTCCATCCAGAAGGTCCAATATGTTACTCAACCCACTTCGGAGTGGTTCTGTCCATCCAGAAGGTCCAATATGTTACTCAACCCACTTCGGAGTGGTTCTGTCCATCCAGAAGGTCCAATATGTTACTCAACCCACTTCGGAGTGGTTCCCATAGGGCCGAGGTCCGACCTAGCTCCACCTTGGAGTGAGTATCACATTGGGCCTAGCACCAAGACTTGATTAATTTTTACCCACTTCAATCTGTGTCCCCTAATCGGTGTCCCAATGTAGCAGCCTCTTTCTGATTGCTTTTTGGCACTGAAATGGAACACCAGATTTTATGGCAATTGATCTGTTGATTAGACCAGGAAGCATATTGACCAAGGTCCAAGATGAGTCTAAGAGGGAACCTGGGGATGCTGCTGTGACTAAGTGACAGCAGTGATCTACTGAGCTTGTGGAAGCTTTTTTCGAGTCTTTTTCAATAATTTGAACCGATCATATCATAGAGCTCGTCGAGTATATCATCCAAACAAAAAATCAAGTTAATCAGAAATCCGTAGCCCCATGATCAGATTCAAATTGTTTTACAAAAATTATCAAGATAATCTCAATTGTTTACGTTTTTAAAAACAAATGTGCTCTTGTTATAAAGTTATAGATTTTCAATCAATTTGATTTTTTGCATGGATGATCTATTCAACAAACCCTACAATATGACCGGTTCAGATTATCAAAAAAACCTCGAAAAAAGTCACCACAAGCTCACAGTAAATTGCTGCTGTGACTTAATCACAGCAGCACCCCCATGTCACCGTAGGGACCAAGATCCAACGACCTTTTGAATGCCCAAAATAAAAATAAAAAATGGACCAATTATTGTAGAATTAACTATTAAGTGGTTTTTGAACACTCTAATATAAAATAAGTAAATAAATATGATAAATATTATTGCATTTTGGTAAACATATTTGATTTTTGTCACATTGTGTGATAAGTAAGATTAATTTTAATTATATAAGGACATATCATGCCACAAATAAAGTGGTTCGAGTAGTAAATAGAATCACTAAAATCACTTTATTTTTTTTGAGAAACTCACCAAAATAAAGGACAGAAACATCATCTTCTCTTTAAAGTTTTTGTGATTTCTAAAGGAGTAGTGATTGAGAGCTTTTGAGCTCTAACGATGTGTTATAAAAAAAATAAAAATAAAAAAAAATAAACAAACAAGTAAATATAAATATCACATCACATAACGGGTTTCATCATTAAAGTTTCTCTTAGAACTCCAAAATTAGAGTTCTTAATCATTTTGTTACTAAAAGAGGGCATCTAAAATTCTTTGGTTTTTAGTTTAAATATAGTTTTTAAATTTTTGAGTTTTTTTTTTAATTTCATATTTTTGTGTTTTTAGTAATTTTTTAATATTTTAATTAATTTTTAATTTTAGATGCATTTAAAAAATAAAACACTTGTGAATTTGCTTTTAAAAAAATACAAAAATTCAATAAATTTTCGTATTATCTTTTTTTACTTATTAATTTTTTTTAAAGATTTTTTCATAAATATTTTTTACATTTTAAATGTATTTAGATTAAAAAAAATCAAAGACTAAACACGAAGAACAAAGGGTATGTTTGGTTTGGTTGTGGGAGATAATTTTTTTTTTAAAAATCTTGAGAAAAGAGTTTAGAATTTTTTTTGGTTTGTTTGGTTGTATATTTTGAAAATAGTTTGAAGTATGAAAGTTTGGGATGATTTAATATTTTGTTGTAGTTGAATAGATGTGTGTGAGAGAAAAAAATAATTAAAATGAAGAGATGAAAGAGAAAAAATAATTAATTGATGTGTAAGTTAGAAAAAGTAAGAAAAATTTTCAACGAAAGAAAAGTTTAGAAAAAAATTTCAAAACTTATGTTGTGAGGGTTAAAGCAAAAAGTCAAAGATATCGATTTTTTTTTAAAATTCGAAACTAAAGAGTGAATTATTATTATTTTTAAATTATAATAAACATAGTGCCTACAAATATGTAAAACTCATCATAACTAGAAAAGGGAAAGAATAAATAAATAAATTGGCCGATTGCAGTGTTGCCAGGTCCTAGAAACATATCGGAAGGTTTGAAGTAAGAGGGAAGTAGGGCGACCGAGAAGTTAGAGGACATGATAGTTGTGCACTGGCCTCCTCCTCCACCCCCGCCCTCTAAATTTAGAGCGAATTGGCCGAGGAATGGAGCTGCTTTTCTCACTTCATCCCTTTCCAAGCCCAAATTTGGCTCCAAATTCTATATCAAGTGTTCTTGCATCAAAGAGGAACACACACCTAAAGCATCTTATTCTGAGGTACAAAAAACCCATCTCCACCCTCTGCAAATTTCTTGAATTTCTTTTTTCTTGGTCTTTTGATGACAATATAAATATAACGCTGCTCTATCAGAATTAGAACCTGTTTTTACGGTCTGAAAATGTGTAACCCCTCCCCTTCTTCCTTCTTTAATCTGTGACCTATACCTATTTATGTCTCATATATATTTCATATTTTGTCTTAAAAAATAAACAAATAAAATAACTAGTTGACCAACTTTCACATATAGATGATGTGAATGTAACATATATGATTCACTTAACACTTGGTGCTCTTCTTTTCTTTTCTTTCTTTCTTCTTCTTCTTCTTCTGCCTTCTTTTTTTCCCCCCCGATCTTTTAAGGGTAATTTACTAATTCTGTTTTGTATGGTTTTATAATTCAAATGTTGAAACTGGTTTATGTTTGAATTGGTTAACAGGACTTCTCTTTGTTGGAATCGGATATTCCGTGGGACAGTGGGCGTATATGGAGCACATTGGCTTTGTACTTGTTCAGTTTGCATGTCCCTCTTAGTTTTGGAGGGTTGTCTGTGGTTGCCCATTTTGTGCATCAACCAGTTCTTGATCCACAGACTGAGGTCAGCAAATTCTTCATTTTCATGATAGATAGATTTGGTCAATAATTTGGAGTGAATAGTATATAAGTAATAGTTTAACAACCCCTGTTCAATTCTTAATTTTCATGATACATTTGGTCAATTATTGTTTTTCGGTTTGGATAAATTGGAGGTCAGCACTAAGCTGCGAAAAACAGCTGCCTTCCAGACCCGTTTGTTAAATTGATAACTAAAAACCAATAATTGGTGTTAGCTCTGTGATTTGGGATGTGAATCTCATTGATCTTGTACAAAGCATTAGTCAAGGCAATGTATGATGTGTAATGGGGTTTCTTTGTAGGGAATTGAGATATGAATGATTAACTATGACGTCTTTATAGCTTGACGTCGACTTGATGAACCATTGCCCATGGTGTCAAGTGTATTGTCTTGGGCCCAAATTGTATCCATATAAATCTACAAAATTTTATGTCACATCTTTATAGTGAAATTTGTTGTAGACAGATTTTGTTTGCCTAGTTTGAGAATTATGATATTGTGTGCTGATGTTAAGCTTATGTTTCTATTCTTTCAGTGCAGGCATTATCATTGCTTGCGATTCAAATTTTAGAGCTCAATTCAGTTCTTTGGCTACTAAGGTGTGTTGCGACGCCACAACATAAGATTTTTAGCTTCTTCCAACCTAAGAATCAATCAAAAGAAAGGAACTGGTTGCTGGCATCAATCTTGGGATTTGGATCTCTTGTCTTGTTGGTTTTCTTTACGTCCCTTGTTGCTGACCAACTGGTTGGGCCCAAGGTTGGTAGCTTACAAATCTTTTGTCGTTGAGGCTTCTAATATTACACCTTGTTGCATGATTCATTTGTCAACTAAGGTTCTTACAACATATTTAAATCATCTACTTGGTTCTAATTTTTAATTGGTGATTAGTTAAAAGAGTTTGGCCTATTCACTCCCCTCTAGGCACAAACATGTCCACCTCCATCTTTTCATTGTCTTTTGATTAGTTAGAGAATTTTAGTTTTGCACCAAAATGTTTAGCTGGTAAACAAGTTTACTTCATAGTGAACCACATGATGAAATTGTCTTTTTGTTAGTTATTTTTTATGAGGAAAATTGTTACTCTTCCTGAGGTGGGTAAGAGGCATCTACCTTTAGAGGAGGGGAGGGGTGAGCTGCCTCCAAAACCTGATGAGATTGTCTGCTCTGTTTCTCTTAATCCAGTGGTGCTTTGTAGTATTGATGAAGGTTTTGTGGCAATGTTCTCTGAAGGCAGTCTATATCCCCTGAAATGGATTATTTAGTTTATCTAGGGAAAATTTTGTTGCTAGTTTCCTGAAGACCTTTATTGTTGTAGGACTCTTTGTTGCGAGGTTTATGTTCTAAAATTCTCTTATGTATGGCTGGAAAGTCTAATGACTGGTATCTCTTTCTCTGATAAAAGATGCGATATGCCATGCCTGAGATGATTAAATTTCATGCAGCACTAGTGTTAAAAAATTTCCTTACGAAGATTAGATTACTAATTAATCTTGCCTCCTGATGTATGGTTCTAGCATTTTGATCTTGAGATAGCGCGATAGTCCGAAAATTAGATGATTGCTTCAAAGATTTGTGTGACACAGGATTTGGTGAACTTTGGAATCTGGGGTTGTATCTGTTAATTTCCACAGCCCAATTCAACAAACTGTTTGACATGCCTCATAGGTGAATACAAATAAATTTGCAATTCATTGAGAACAAACTAAAAGTTTGCTCATCTTTGTTGTTTGTTCCATGAAGCTTCCATGTGGATTGTAGTTTTTATAACATTAGAATTGATATTTCAGAGAAAACTCTTGAGTTCACAGTAAACCCTAAAATAGCCAACGACTTCAACTACAATACATCTACAATCCATATGTTCAAATAATATGATCCAAAGGGGCTTTTTTTTTTTTTTTTCACTTGTAAAAGGAACTTAATTGCATTATCCAATGCATCTTTCTTCTTAGCATATACATACATTTATATTTCTTTTCTTTTCATTTTTCTGATGACTGCAGGATGTGAACAACCCAATACTGAAGGAAATCCTTTCAAGTGGTTCCATCTCTAAAACCGCCTGCATCCTTGTTTACTGCATTGTCACGCCCCTTCTGGAAGAAATTGTTTACAGAGGGTTTCTTTTGACATCTCTTGCATCCGAAATGAAATGGTATCAAGCTGTTGCCATCAGTTCGGCTGTTTTCAGCGCAGCTCATTTCTCTGGTGAGAATTTCTTACAATTGTTCATAGTTGGGTCTGTCCTCGGATGCTCTTATTGTTGGACAGGAAACTTAAGTTCTTCATTTGTCATTCATTCCTTGTACAATGCCCTAATCCTTATAATCACATTTTTGTCTTAAAAAATCAAATTCACCACTTTTTTTTCTTTTTTTTTGTCTTTTCTTTGGAAGTAAGCCTTTTTTTCCCCCATAGAGATGCTAGTTCTCACCAGAGATAATAAACTTGAATTTCTCAACTTAAAAGACTGGCCCTGAACTTGCTAACAACAAGGAACAACAATAATAACAAAAGGGGTGTTTCCAAAAACACCCCATTCTTTTCTCTCCACACCATAGTTTTCAAAAGTTTTCAAAGGCTTCACTAAGGCTCGCCTAGAGGTTAGGGTAAAACGCATCAAGGTTTTGATTTTTTAGACTATACTCCCAAAAGGCTTGTGCATCATAATGTGAGGCATGCATCTTAGGTGCACCTTGTATGCCTTTTGCGCCTATGACAAGTACGCACATGAAGAGGTTCCCTTAGATTCTTGTTAAACTATTAGTCTAGTAGATAGTTTAAATATCAAAAAGCCAAAAATAAAAAAGAATTTTTGTGAATATATTCTAAAAAATTAAGTAAATGAACAATGAACAAAAAATACAAAATTGATATTCAAGTGAGAAGCTCAATCACTAAAGCTAATTGTCAATTTCACTTTTAATGAAGGTAAGTTTCATTCTCTACAGTGAAATGTTCGATGGCTTAAGGAGAAAAGTATATATACATTTATATTTAATTTTTATTTGTTTTTTCACTATTTTAAATTATTTAATTTATTTACTGAATATTAAAACTTAAAGTTTAAAATGCTTGTGACTTAACGCCTTAAGGCTTACGTCTCGCCTTATAGATGGTAAAATGCCTTGAGTTACGTATTTGCCTTAAAAACTTTGCTCTACACCCACTTTCTCTCTTGTGAAATTAGTAGTGGTTATTATAGAAAGGGTTAATTGGTGATAAATCTAATTTAAAGAGGGTATAAGATATTAGGTCCAAAGGATATTTTTTGTTAATGAGAGGTTCACGCTTTGTGAAATAGTTTGGTGAAAAGTCTTGAAAAACATTTTGTTTTCAATTTTATCCGTTGATTTTTTTTTATCTATTTGACTTTTCGTTGACTATCTGTTTAAATTTAGATCTATCTATTTAAATTTTTTTTTTCCTATCTATTCAATTTTTTGTTTATCTATTCAAATTTGTATCTATCTGTTCAAATTTTTTTGTCATCTGTTCAATTTTTTCCCCTAGATTATATTTATCTGTTCAATTTTTTTCCTAAATTCTACTTATCTATTCAAATTTTTTTTTCCTGAATTCTATTTATTATTATTATTTTATCTATTCAAATCTTTGTTATTGAAATATACCAAGCCACTACCTATTCAAAATTTGAACATATCTTTTTTTTTTTTTTTTTGTTATATCTGTCGTAGTCATTATCATCAATAACAACAACAATCTGTTTCATCATTAACAACAATTGCAATTATTTGATGAGCAATTGTTAAAGAAGGTTAATTTAATTAAACCAACTTTTTTTCCCCCCCTCAACAAAACAGCCCCTGTGGCCAAAGTCAACATTGGATGCCACAAGTCTTTTTGATCTAAGACTTAGGGTCTCATTTGGGAACCCTCCCTTTAGTCAAAAAGTCAAAAGTTACTAAATAAGTCAAAAAGTCAACAACTCATACCAAAAAGTCAAAGATTCTCTTTTCTTTCTACTTTTTGCACATCTTTTCGTAAAAAGTCAAAAAGTCATCACAAACATACTAGTTTTTTTTAGCTCATATTTTAGCCAAATAGTCAAAAAGTTACTAAATTAGCCTATTCCCAAACGAGGCTAGACCACAAAAATTGAGATAGCAGCACCAGGATCAGGTTATCAGTAAACTGTGTGTGTTTGAGAGAGAGAGGAGTGATGGCTGAAAATTATTGTGTCATGAAGAAACTGAAGTATCTAATAAAGAGTGAGGACAAATTCATAGCAGATAAAAAGGGATGAAATCAAATCTTTTTACAATTGGCTAAGATTTCTAGGAACTATTCTCAAGGATATGGAAGAGAAGCACCATGAGGAGAATGGTGAAGGAGAAAACCTGGCTATGCAAATTAGCTATGTGACGTCTTTAGAAATGTTCCTCTCTCTAACCTCCTAAAACCAGATCTCCTTGAGCCCTTGTTCGGATTCAAAATAGCTTTATTCAATTCGAATCGATTTTGATTGGTTCAAATTGAGAGCAACAATGGGCGATTTCAAACTCGTTCTTTTGATCGTCACCATAGTCGTATGCGTATTGGTCTTCTTTTTCAATGTCTACCTCCTTGTCAACTTCCAGCACCCTAATAATGTGAACCAAGCCTAATTTCCCAAATTCATCATTGTTTTGGGACTCTCCGTCACTGAAATCTCTATCCTCATATCATCTGCCAATTTCGCCAACTGACAGGCTTGTCAACACGTGATTTACAATGGTGCTCGTAATCTCACCTTGCCGATGAAGACTTTCTGACTCGCTATCTACATTCTCGATGATGTCGTCTTCTTCATCATTCATTTTGCTTTGTTCTTCCGAAATGTTTCACGGCTTCTTCCAAAATGTTTTGAAATATTACGGCATCAGAACCATATGACTCTGATATCTATAGATATGGCGACAAACGACCGAAGGCCTTGGACAACGACGATCTAAGAACGGCGGCTATCTGAGGCGATGATCTCGAATCTGAGGTAATCGATGGGGCGATTCAGCAATAGAGGGTTTCAACGATGATATAGAGAAAAAGAAGTGTAGTTATAAACCCTGCGATGAGAGCTTTGTAAAACGACCATCGAGTGTTTCGTCAGATTGTGGCATGATAGAGGATGACGGCGTTGTCAGAGCGACAGCTAAGGCATTATCGTCGCTAAGTCGACGGCGATGGCGACACTGCGATGGGTGGCGATGGTGGAGATGCTAGTGGCGGAGAGGCGGCAATGACGACAGAGGCAGAGGCGGAAGGGATGTATTAATGGCAGTTGTGGAAACAGCGCGCTAGGGTTTAAATCCAGAAGAGAGAGAGGTCGACGGTTTCATTTTAGAGTTTGATTGGTATATATATAAATGGATATTTTTGGTCATTTTGTTTCAGTTTGTCCTTATGGAGAAACTATTCCTACACTTGGACTTTTTGCCAAAGAAAATGTAATATTGGACTTTTGCGCCGAGCGCCCTTATAGAAATTGGGTTTAGTGAGAAGAGATGTGGTGACGACAATTGCGGAAACAGCGCGCTAGGGTTTAGATCGGGAAGAAAGAGAGAGAGAGGTCGACGGTTTCATTTTAAAGTTTGATTGGTGTATATATATAAATGGATATTTTTGGTCATTTTGTTTCAACTTGTCCTTATGGACAAACTATTCCTACACTTGGGCTTTTTGCCAAAGAAAATGTAATATTGGACTTTTGCTCCGAGCGCCCTTATAGAAATTGGGTTTAGTGAGAAGAGAGAGAAAACAAAAAAGTGTCTTTAGAAGCACCCTAACAAAAAGACGAGGCCTAGACGAAGCATTTCTCATAAAATAACTCAATTAATTGGAAATGAAAGCAATATTTGTTACTAAGAAAAAAAAAATAGTTAGACAAAGTGAGCAACAAATTCTTCAGAAATGTTTTCATGGTTGAACGAAAAATAAATCTATTTAGGTAAAAAAAGAAAAGAAAAAGAAAAAAGAAGATAGAAAGCATGTTTTGAATTAAAGTCTTATTAATGTCATCCCACCACCATCATCACTATCTCCACCATCAACTTTCTTGTCGTCACTGCTAGTGATGGAGCTAGTATTTTGACTTAAAAAGGGCAATACTTTGGCTTAGATATCTAGTATTTAGGATAAATGTGTAATTTTTTTAAAATTGAGGAGCATATCCCCACCCTCACCTCTATATGGCTCCGCAACTACCATCATTGATACAATTATTAATGAGTTTTATTAGCACCTCATGAATTATTTTGGACATCCCATTTCTTTGGCCCCCAACTTATAAATTTTGAAACTCTCAAAATTTATTTTTCTCCCCCAAATAATACCAAAATTATCCTTGTGAAAACATTCTACCCATTGAATGCACACCCAACACACCCCAAAAAAACCTCTCTTCCAAAAAATCCCTAACAAAACCCACCAAGAAGAAAAAGAGCCAATGTGATTACCTTCTGTCTCATCCACTATTGTCACAGTTGGTATGCTCTCTCTCTCTCTCTCTCTATATATATATATATATATACACGTAATTTTTTAGTTTTCTAGTAATAATTTCTTCTATTGTAGGAAAAAAAATTATAATAATTGGTTTTGTTGGTAGATATTATAAAATTGTGAGTTCAGCAAAGAACTATGCAACAATATTATCAAAGCTACTTTGTGGGTTTACCGGAGAGGCAAAGAGATTTGTTGTTAGGAGGTTTTGGGAAAAGTGGTTTAGTTATTCATGAATGCAGAAGTCGTCTGAGTTTGTTCGAGATTGATGTACGCAGAGGTGGTGATGACACTAGTGATGTTGATCCTGGTCCATCGATTTTGAACGTTAGTGTTAGTAAAGAGGAAGTTGATCGTAGAGGATTAGTTTTTGTGGACCCAGCAGAATTTTCTAATGTTTTACGAAATGTAATCATCAGTGTGAAAAATAGTGATGTGACTCAAGATGTAATAGTTGCTGATAAGGGAAATGTAGTAAGTAAATAAAACTTTGAATGGCTTCATAAATAAAATTAATAAAAATTTTCATTAATCATAATAGTGATTACATTAACATTAGACCATTCTCTCATTTTTGGGGATATTGCATTTAACCAACTACTGTCCCCATTAGTTAATATAAAATAAGGAATTCCTCCTCTAATAGTGAGATCTGGTTGGAATTTAACAAATAAATGGAAGTTTCTCTAGTAGCATACTAAATTTTTCATTAATTCGGTAGGGACTGTCGAGTATTTGATCGCGTCTATGACGTTGTAGACGGCGTCTTGGTCATAGTCCTTAAAGTTTATTCTGTCGAAGAAGTAATTGTGTCGTCCGAGGCTTCTGGCCCAGGTGGTTTTGCCTGTTCTTGGGGGTCCTTCGAGGTAGAGGGAGATTGGCGGATGAGCTTCTGTTTTGGTTCCTGTTATCGGAGGAGAATGAGAGTTTTTCGTCAGTATATAAATTGTTGATATTATTTTTGTGTATCCCTAATCTAATCCAGTCGTCTTCCCTCCAAACAGAGAAAGCAATTTTGACATAACTCGTATTGAACAAAATTTTGACTTACAAACAAAATATTATTTTGTATCCATTTTTTTACTTCTTCATTTAAGAAATGAAATGAATTAAAGGGCTAGTATATGAGGGTCTCTCTCTTTTGTAATGATCCTTCGTAAATGTTTTTAATTGAGGGTATTTTATGACATAATTGGTGGGACATCTCTCTTTGCAGAGTGCAAAGAATTGTTCCTCCGTTTCTGCTTCTGCAAGTATTCTCCTCCAGAATTCATCTCTGTTCTTCGAAAGACTTTTTCCCCTTAGATGAAAATTCTCCGCATTCGACGAACTCGCCCCCTTTCTGTATATACTATCGACTTGCTGTTGGCGAGTGGAGTTTTTCTATATTTGGATAATAAATCCTCCCGTTGGTTCCAGTGAGATCAAAAAATCTCAAGTTAGAAGTTTGGATCTTCCTCGTGCATTGAACCATGGCATGAAAATGAGAGTTTCCATCTTCATGGAGCTCCTTTACGACAAGTATATAGTATGGCTGACAAGGCTAGTTTTGTTATATATTTGGTACTAGAAAATATTTTATGGCGGAGAGGAATATGCTTTTGCAGTGGGATAGCTATTGTGGTGAAATTATTTTCTGGTACCTTGTTTCGCCCCTCATTTTTAGTTTTTTTTTGTTGTTGATTGTTTTAGTATACAATGTTGTACTCCTTAGAAGAATATCCCGAGAATTACGGGCAGTTCACTCAAATGTGTGTAGATCATTTTTTAACGATGCAAATAGGACTGAAGGAAGAGAGGCGACGGTCAGCTCCAGCGAAGTTTGTTTGTGGGTACAAAGAGCAGAGGGAAAAAATATCAAAGCTAAGGTGTCCGAACAGAAGGGTTAGCAGAGGAAAGAGAATCTGCATAATTTGTAGGATAAAAGATTTGGAGTATTTTATAAAAAATGGAATGAGGTATGAGCAGCCAGTATCGGACTCCCCTTACGTACCACCGGTCAAGGACACCGGCGGCCAATGGATATAAGCGGAGTTGCCATAGTCGTGCACCTTTTAAGGTGACGTATGTTCGCCAACGGTACGTTTAGAATATTCCCCGATATATTAAGAAGACTAAAAGGGGAATAAGAAAGTTACAACTGTACGATAAACAATTAAAGAACGTTAAATTTGATAATAAAGGTGTGGCGAAATTACTTAATGGTATTGAGTTGGGTAATAAGAGATGTGACTGTCAATCAGACAAGATCGTGATTAAGGGTATAAAATTAATTGGGAATGTTCAATTAGGACAAGATGCTAAAGACGAAGCTGTGGTCCACTACGTTTTGTTTATCGTGATAAGTGATAATAATCCATCAGATTCTGTTCCCACACCTGACAAGATATTTATTGGAGTTGGCGAGGGTAATCCTGAAGACCTGGATTGTTGATCCTGACCAGTCCAACCAGTTTCGGATGCTAAAGAAAATGAGATTCAAGCTCGTTGGTGGCAAGGACAAAGAGTACGTTCGTCACGGGATAGAAGTTGTGGACCGGTTCTTCCCAGTTGATGTTTGGACGGACTACAAAGATACGCTGTTGGGAAATGTTGAAAGTATTTAAAAAGGTGCCATATATTTAGTGGCTTCTACTGTTAATGGAAAAGAATGCAAAATTATTTTAAGGAGTCAAATGTACTTTAAGACTGTTTAGAATTGTAATTTTATATATTTTTATTTGTAATGTTCAGGTTAATGGAGGTGGACGATATAAAAACAGGTGTTGTTGAAGGTGTTTCAGCAAGTGATTTCAATTGTATTGAACTTGTTTTGTCTAATTTATTTTCTCAGTTGAGGTTAAGATACAAACAAAAGAGACGAGCAAGGATTGGGGGAGTTCTAAGAGTTGTTCTTTTGGGTATGGTCATTGTAAGTAGGTGAGGAAAATATTCTTAGTATAGAAACGGAAAAAAAGGCTTGGCAAGGCATTTTGTAATGGAGAATAATGAACTGATACCTGCCGTACACTCACTCCAACTATACAAGGCCTCTCTATTTAATAAAAAACCTGGTGTGAATGGTGTAAGTGGTGTAACTGGAGGGCGCTGTGTTAATATTACCAACACCCCCCTCTCCCGCTGATCTGGGCCGTCAATTGCTGTACCTATGGACACGTGTATGGATGTGGTTAAAAGGAAGTCACACCCGGGCCTAGGTGTGAGTGGTGTGAGTACTTTTGATACGCGATGAAGGAATAACTTTTGAACCTGATAATGGATTTGAGTGACTTCTGATAACTTCTGCAAGTGTTAAAAATTTTATCCATTTAATGTATTAAGAAATTTCCATGTTCGAGGTTGTATTTCCGAACTTGAAAAAATGAAAATTTCTGCAAGCATTAACAATTTTGACCGTTCAATGTGTTAAGAAATTTTCATGTTTGGACCTGCATTCCCGAACATTACTTATTTGTTCAGGATGGGAATGCCTTCTTGAACAAATAAGTCATGTTCGGCCTATATTTTCAAACTTGAAAAAATGAAAACTTCTGCGCGTTAACAATTTTAATCATTTAATGTGTTAAGAAATTTCCATGCTCGGACCTGTGTTCCTGAATTTCGACCATATGTTCAGGAGTTCAGTCCCGAAAAAATAACGAATATATTTTATTATTTTTTTCATTTTTTTCAAGAATTTTACCCTTTCTAGGCTAATCTCCTCTGAGCTAAGAACAACCTCAAAGCTATGAATCTCCTCTAAGCTTTTGTTATTGTATTCCTCTCGTCTTATGGAGTTCTAGCTGCAAGAAAAACTTTCACTCATTATCATTGCTGAAGAAGTGTAGGCAGTCAAATGATTGTCACTGTTACCGCCAGAATATTGTCACCAAAGGGTTTTTAAGGTTTTGAAGGTTGGTAGGTTTTGAAGGTGGGATTTAGGGAAGATGGATAGGTGGTGATAGAAGTGGGTGCTCTTATAACCCTAATTCATAAACCCAAAATATTTCTGTCAAAGGATTTTTAAGGTTTTGAAGGTGGATAGATTTTGAAGGTGGGATTTGGGAAAGATGGATAGGTGGTGATGGAGGTGGGTGCTCTTATAAACTCCAATTCATGATGTAGTGGGTGTGTAGGTTTAATTGTGAGACGGGGTGTTTCAAAATTAATAATGTCATTTTTAGTAATTTTATTTGAAGTTATTATTGTAATAAAATAAAATAAAAATTGAGAGTCCAAAATAATTTATAGGGTACTAATAATAGCACTCTTATTAATACATTAGATTTAAATGCGTAATCCAAAAATTGTAAAATATAATTTTTTTTGTCAAAAAATATTCAAAGTACTGAGATAATTTGAAATTTGATTGGTCAGCTATTATGAGCTGGATTGGTTTTCAAATATTTCTAGAATTTTTTATTTTTTATTTCTAGAATATTTTCAAATATTCAAAGTATTGATATTTTATGGCTCCTCAATCGTTTTTTCTTGCTTCAATTTCTTGTTGTTTAGATTTTATTTGTATGCAAATCTAGCATTATTTACATAAAAACTCTCTAAAGCATTGAAAATATTACTTTGATCTCCTAAATTATAAAATAGTACAAATGAACTCTTAAACTATTGAGAATTATTGTTTTGCTCTTTAAATAAATAAGTTGTTTATTGGTTTATTTTAATTATATCACTTTTTTATTTTTCTGTACATATTTTTATAATAAACAAAAAGGCCCCATTTGAGAACAGAGAAAAAAAGCTAAAAGTTAGCTTTTAATATATTTTGGATCACATTACCTTTCATTTTTTTACATGTTTTTCTTTAAAAAAAATTAAAAAGTCAAAAAATCAATTTTTAACCATCATCTTAAAAATCCCCGCAAAAGCTAACTATAAAATCATACTTAAAATAATTTAAATCATAAATTATGAATTTGTTTCACTTTAATCCCTTCTATAAAAGAATCTTATTTATATTTTTTTATAATTAAAAAAAATTATTTATACATTTTTATAATTTATAAAATAAATTATATTTTTTAATATTTTAAAACATCTATTTATACGTTATAAAAACGTTAAAATGATAAGTTTTCAGGTAAATAATCCTTATCATTTTCAGGTAAATAATCCTACAAATCTATAGGAAGGATAGGCACCACATAAAAAAATGTTTGGAAACTCTAAATTATGAGATCTAAAGGAGTTTTATAGAGTGGGTTTTATTTATTGATGTGATGTTTTGATTTTATAAATTTTTGATTTTTATTTTTTTTTAAATTTTTACCTTATTAGTGTTCGATTATTATTTTTATTTTTTTTAAATTTTTACCTTATTAGTGTTCGATTAGTATTCTTAAATTAATGGAATGACACCCCACATTTTCTTTTCTTTTTTTTGTTTTTGGATTCATCGGATAGGCACCACACATTTCAACTTTGTCATGATAATGGCGGACATGGCGTCCGCGAAGTTTCCACTTGGGACCCATGATTGCTTTCTTTTCTTCGTGTATAAACGAAGAAGTTGTCGGTTCACCAAATCATTCTTCCTCACTATTTTAACGGTAAAAGTAGCATGCGCACGGTGATCAAATTTTAATATTAAATATTTTGTTGGTATATGTCACTAGTTGTATTGGCGGTTTAATGATTTACTTTTTTTTAAATGTTAATGTCGGTATACGTTAAAAAGTGTATTAATATATATATATATATATATAAATATAAAAATATTAAGGGCATAAAAATAACTCGTGATCCATGAACAGTTCGAAACTAATCCGTGATCTGAGATGGGTCTGCCCATTTAGGTCTTCTTGGGCCCAGGCCCGAACCCCTGGGCTTGGGCTTGTGCCATTATTTTGAAACTCGGCCATAGGCCCAGCCCCGTGGCCCATCTTATCGGATCGCTTAAGGCTCACTTAGGACTCTACCCGCCAAAGACCTAATGTATTCTTTAATAGAAAATAATAAAATTTTGGTAGAAAAAATTTTAAAAAATAAATAAAAAATAGTTAGTCCCGTCCAAACCCGAGGCCAAGCCCAAGCCCATTGGGCCGGCTCGCCCAAGGCCCGAATACCCTTGGGTCTGGGCTTAATTTTTTGGCTTGTAGGCCGACTTGCCCCGGCCTGAATTTTGGTGGGAGCCCACGAAGCCCAATGTGGGTCGGGCCAGGGCCGGGCCAAATTTACACCGCTAGAATATATGTACAAGTTGTGTTAAAATTAGAAATGTTTTGATTTTATTTGCTTCTTCACAAATGTCTATAGGGTGTCGTTAGCAGAACTCTTATTAGCTTATTTTGGAAAAGAAATTAAAAGTCACTTTTCAACTTTTAACCTATTTCCCTCCCTCACAAAAAAATCAAAAAAGTTTTAAAAAATAATTATTAACCAGCTTCTCAAAACAACTTATTTTACTCGCTTTGAAGTTTCATCCAATCTAATTTTTGAATACATATGGTCTTCTTATTGCGCATAAGAAAAGTTAGAAATAAAATTTTAAATAAATTATAAATAAATCTTTTAAGATTTGTTTAAAATATAGATCGTCCTTTATAATTTTAAAAATTATATCTTACTTTTTAAAATTTCTAATCGTATAACAAATAATTCATTTTATTAATCAGCCAAGTCAATTAATAATTTTTAATAATGTTAGCAATGTATTTTAATTAACAGTTATAATTTTATTGTTATATAACAAAATAGTTAGAAATTTTATTTTTTATGTCAACTTTGTTAAATGATAAATTCTAACAATGAAAC